ATATACATATATATAATATATATATATATAATTACATATATTAGGATGACCCTTACTTGGTGAAAAAGTTTTTCATGTATTTGTCGATCTCCCTAGAACAGTTCCAAATATTAAAATAATAATTTCTGTAAAATTTTATTGCAATCGGATGAAAAGAACATGTGCCAACTTGTAACATAAAGTATGGCATCTGTATATAAAGTTATACAGACAAAAATTGCTTGATGAGAAAAGTTGTCGGCATATGTTTTGTTCATTTGATTACGTTCAAATTTGACAAAAATAATTTTTTTAAACATTTTGAACTATTTGAATTAAATCGAGCTCAAAACTTTCAAGGTCGAAAAATAGGACCATTCTAATATATACATATACACGTATAATATATAAAGTGACTTGAAGAAAAAAATGCCATTTTGAGAGAAGATACCACCTTGTTCATATACCCACGTAATATTACATCAATATTATTTTTCCATTACAATATTACAATGAAATATTGCTGAAATATTGCAGAAATATGACAGTAACATTAAAATGTTCTCGAAAATGAATAACAGTAATATTATAATGACATATCATAGTTATATTACTGTATATTATGCAGTATTTATGCGATATTTATGTAATATTTATATAACACTGTGAGGAATTAAATCATATTAATAAATTTATTAACATGTTATTAAAAAGACTTTATGAATTAAATTTTTGTATCAGCCGTTCTGAAGTACGTAAAAATTTCGTGAGATAAATTACAAAAAAGATTTAATTAGATCATAACTATGATTATAACGAACAGTATATAAAATATTAAATTTAGATTAATTTTATTTAAATTATAAATAACTGCATCTTATTGAAGGATAATAATACCATTTGCGTAATATTGTTGAAAGTCAAAATAACAAGCTATACAACACAGAAAAAAATCGATACTTACTTTTGTTTACTAATACTACAAATCACAGCATGTTAGAATTATTATAATCAAACAAAACATATGTATAGAATTACGATTTTGTCAAAACATATATTGCAAACGTTTATAAAAGTTCATGTAAAAATAAAGTTATATTTTGCCAAAATTACGTCTAACCCAGTAAATCAAAACATAGACGTGTATGTAATATTATACAAGAGTAAAGATTATGTTCTGATGTAACTTTATGTCAATAACTTTGAATCATTTATAAGATTATGTACATACTTATGTATTACATATGCTTCAGTGATATGTTACTTAATATATGTATATGGTACGTATGTATAACATAAATGTTCTGTAAGTAAATGTTACATATTTCTCTATATATTTTACTGCAATATTTACGCAATGTCATGTGTTATATGGATAGTCTTTTTCTAAGGAATAAAAGTAACACGTTATTTATATTATGATTTCACTTTTTTAGGTAACTATAACGGTAACATAATTACATCTATTGGTCGCATTCAGCAGACTCAACTGTTGCGGAGCAGATCCGTGAGCGCTCGCTACTATTGGATGATCTAAAAGAATATACCAATAGAGGTGAGCGCTCACGGATCCGTTCCATAACAGTTAGATTGATCTTGTTTTAGTATTAAATATTTACATGCCTGGCAGTTTTCAGCACAACATGCATTTTTCAATGTCTTACTCTTTATCTACTTGATCGCTGATGATGATTCAAATGCCGAAGTCAAAACGTATAAGTGAAATGTAAAGTTTAATTTACTAACTTATTGAGTAAATGTGACTTATTCTATAAAAAAAAAATTGTAATCTGCGCACTTCTTACTGCGCTTAACTCTCATAATCCCCTTGTTATTCTAATTTAATCTTTATTTGAAATACCGGGAATCCTCTTATTGCTTTTGTTAGTTGTAAATAAATTATTGCAAAAAATATCCCAGATCTGTTTTTATTTAATGTTAGGAGACACGGGAATATCTCGACATTAAGATTGTTTTATTTACGTTATCTGAAAAAGACATTCTATCTATATATAGTATAGTTATTACGATTAAAATCGTCACGTGCCCCGATGATCGATTGTTTACACAGAATACAAAAGATCTGGGGTAACATTTTTGTCACAATAAATTATAGTTACAATTTTAGAATTCTCATTAGCATCAAATTATTAAGCTTCCTGAGATGCTTATTTACAGCAATAATATTAAATTAGTTGTCAATTTGTGATATTATTCTGTTTCAGATTGTGTTTCAAGAACGATAAATTATAATATTTGTGAACTGAAAATTATATAACTAACAAGATATATTATTAGATATGAATAATCATTTAGACTAAATATGGCGTTTTTCATTCATGTTGTTGTGTTGTGTACAATGATATTTTCCCCTTACATTGAGGGGACAGAGAGATGACAGTAAGTACAAAATATGATTTTTCGTGTTTGACACTATCATTAAAATTTGAATTAAAATTTTTGATGCTCTATGTAATTTAAAATATTTTAATTCAATAAAATATTATTTAAATGAATAAAAGTATATTAAATTTACTTCCTAAATTATTCTCTTTCGTATTTTCTCAATTTATGTTTTATCATTCTTTTATGTTTTTATGAAGTTTTGATTGCGTACTGTAGTAAGTAAAACATACATGTTTATATTACATCATTATTTAATGGCTTGTGGCATTTTCCCCTGAAGTGGTATCTTATCCGATACGGAATATCAAAAGTATAATTTGTTAATTTGTATAAGTAAAAGAAGGACACATTAGAATATGAATAACATTTATGTTTTTTAATTCGATAATATTGACAAGTTATAAAAAATATAAATATGGCGTTCTTTTCTGTGCGTCACTTCACATATATTACACAATACGTATACATATACATATGTATATACACGTCCCGGGTGTCTTATGTTAAATGATGACTTCAAATACCTCTTGACCAGTGCATTTTAGAGAAAAAGGTAAATATACTAAACAGAAGACCTCGCTCTGATAATTTTGACCTTGAGATATATCGTCAAGGTCAATGTTCTGATAACCTCCGATAAGTTTCACTCGTTATCCGTTAAAAAGTTGTTAATAAAATAATTGATAAAAATACTGATCAAGGGGACCCTGGTCCTTGACTTGACATATCCTATTATGATCATGAATGACTTCCAACAAATTTCAGCTGTCGTTAACCGTTAAAAGTTATAAACAAAAGCTAAAGACACAGCACGCGTGCGCACATATATATACACGACTTATAAATCCAACTGAACAATCTCCACATAATATACCTTAGTATAATGCTAACGCCAGTAATTATAACTTTCAAATCTCATAACTCGAAAAGTACTGATTAAAAAAAGGACTCATATAGTGTTTTGAAAAGCTCTTTACATCTGCTATCAGATTCCGAAATAAAAAAATAGAGTATTTCATTTTAAAAAATCGATTTCGTCTCAACTTGACTTGGTGGCGCCTCCCAAGATCAAACTGTGTGTGATAATATCAGTAAACAGATGATTTTTAAACCCTACAACTTTTATATGAAATATTTTTCTCAGAAATTCTTACTTTTTAAAATATTTAAAGTGTCCGGGATTTTTTATACGTCCTGTATATATACATATGTATAGATATATACAAATCTGATAAAAAGTTCACTACGTTTTTTTTTAAAACAATTAGAGATATAGAGAAGACATCTATTATCAAAATTGTAGGTTAAGGGGGGACATACTTTAATAATTCACAAACCTTGTGTAATCATGAATATCTTCGGTTACTTATTACTCTAATAAAAAAAGGTTTTTTTTTTTAGTAAGAAGGGATATTTTTAGTCATTCTATCGATAATATTCAATAAGTCAAATTATTTTGGTACTAAAGCATTTTTTTCAAAAATTTAACTGTTTTTGGAATATATAAATTAAAAGAAGTCAGATTATAAGTTTGAAATAAATTTTGTTATTATTATAATAAATGTTCAAAATATTCACTATGTTAATCTAAACGAACCTGTAATTTTCATGGAAAGCTTGCTTGGATTTTTTTTTATTCAAGTAAATATTTTTCTTGTTTAAGTAGAAAGAATACATAAACTTACGATTTACTTTACATATATTATCTTTTATCAATATCTAAGATATATCAGCAGTGTCAAACTATTAAAAAATAGCTCATATATTATAACATCTTTCTATATAAATAATAGACTATTAGATATTAATTGACATTATGACAACTTTAGGTCATTTTAATAATACTAATAAATCTACACAGGTATTGCGTTATTACACTTATCGCTTCTATCATTGCTCGAACGTTATCACGTAATATTTCTAAAATAATATTCGCCGTGAAAAATTGTGACGTAAAAGATGAGTTTCAGAAATTTAAAAATGTTCTGACGTGTTGAAAGACTGACTCGATCTTTTGGGTTTGCAATACATCGTAGAATATATTTATAGTATATAAACGAGTATATATATATATATTTTCGACAATCACTTTTAACAAAATTTCTCTTACAAAATGTGATTTTGCTCGCGCATATCCTTTGTTGATTTAAAAATCAGCATACATAAAAATAATTCTGAAAATGTAGTCATTATTAGAATGCAAAAATGTTAATATTAATAAACATAATTTAAAATGCCATGCAAGGACACTCATTGTCATACAAATACCTCTGAGATGGGACTACGTAATGTAATAACTATAATTTATAGATAGTTTCTGTCTAATTCCGTAACACATTATACTTACATGCAGAATTATTGCCAAGAAATGAGAGATTAACACATACTTGGAGCATTCAAGTGTAAGCATAAAGTAATATTATGATCAAAAATATTATGATCACTGAATTAGTATTATTATTTTCTAAATATTTTTTAAATATTATTATATATTAAAACAAATGATATATTTTCAATGATACAATAGTTAAAACGATAAAAATGGCACTCATAAGTAATTTTTTGCACGATAAAAATTTTGGCGATGCGATTTAACAATTGTTTTCAATTGTTAATTGGTTCTATAGTTAAAAAATGCAAAAAATCTACAATATTTTTAGTTCCCGAATCATTTAGTTTTTTAATCAAATTATGAATTAATTTATCGAATATACGTGTAAAAAATCTGAGACTTTTATATAAAAATACAATATGTGTCATTAAAATTATATCCTAAATTTAAAATTAAAGCCTGCTCATACTTTATAGGAAATTTTCCTCTTTTTTTTTTTAGAATTTTTGGAATTTGTTTACACTTTGTAATTTTGTAATTCATGGGACACTAATAAAAAATGTCATTAGGCACAATTTTCTAGAAGCTACATTGAGGTAAAAATATTTTTTTTTATTAAAGTATTTATTAATATATTTATTAATATATTTATTAATTAATATATGTATCATATTTATTAATACATTTTTTCTTAGTGTATAGTTTTATTTTTAAGAATGTTGAAAGTTAATAAGATTTTAATAATCATAATGCAAAATTATCATGTTTCTCTATCGTTTTTAATATAATAAATATAACAAATTAAATCTTATCAATCCGAGTCATAAAGTTGATGTATCTAATGATTGCACATCATGATTATATCAAATCCAATAATTAGTAAATATAATCTTTTAATCAATAATGATCACGGTTTTGTTAGTTGCATCTTGTACCCTACTTAAAAGATTTAATGATGAAATATTTTAGTTACTTTATGAATATTTTATATTATATACTTTAATATCTTACATATCCTAAGTAGCATAAAAGACTAGTAACATCATCACAAATATCTAATGTTTGTGTTCGTATTGCATATACAATAACAGTAGCTAGAATAAGTTTTTTATTAATAAATTTCACTCGTTTTTTGCAATGCAAATGAAATAAATAAACGGTCTAAATCGAGCTAAATGAATTTAATAATAATTGTTCTTAAATTTTACAATATAAAAGAGAAATATAACTTCAAAACTAACAAAAAGTGTCGTACGTTTCGGAACGGATTGATAACTTTCTCTTATGATGTGTGACGATGCGGTACAGCATGCCGATATAATAATTATAGTTTGGATTGATTTTTCTGTTCTCAATGCTAGTGTATTGTAAAAGCATGTGAGACAGGACCACCATTACAAGTTTGTCCGATCGAATTGAACGCAGATGTTACAAACATCATCACTTGCAATGATGGTCCTGTCTCACATGCCTTTACAATACACTCGCATTGAGAACAGGATAATCAATCCAATGACACAAACATCTATAAGAATCGCTAAAGAAGAACCTGTAAGTTCCGAAATGTACAACACTTTTTGTTAGTTTTCAAGTTATGTTTCTCTTTTATATTATAAAATTTAAGAACAATTATTATTATTAATTTATTTAGCTCGATTTAGACCGTTTATTTATTTAAGCTTTTTATTGTTATAGAATTCTACAGTATGGACTATATATAATTAGTACCTTGCGAAGCATTGAAATTGTAAGTTTATTCTTATTTTTATAAATTTAAATTCACTAAAAAGTACTTATCTGATTCTAAAATTTCATCTCCATCTACTTAATTTAACTTCTTATCTTGTATGCAAGTTGAAGATAGGGTAACTTCGGTATTTATTAGAAATTCCCGCGATATTTATTATAAATCTGCACTGGGATTTATACCGCAGAAATCAGAAAAAATAAAAGAAGAAGTAATTTGTACGCAACTACTCTGTTATGTCTTCATTATATTAGTATTGTGTTATAATTTCAGTTTTGTACTGTCAATATTAATAAAATTACTATTACAATATTGAATCGATTTGTGAATGTAATAAGTAGTGCAATTATATATCCATAATTCTCATAAAATGATTATTGTAGGAATTGTAAAAAGTTATTTATTGTATCTCATGGTATACTCCAAGTGCGATAATTTAGTTACACCCTGTATATATATATATATTTAGCGAGATTTATGCTCAAATCATACAAAATATATAGCTTGGATTCGATGTATTGAATGGAATAAGTCATATTACATGAAATATATATTTCATATCACACATAAAATATTTGCAAAAATTTATAATTATTTTAAATAAAAAGAACTCTATATTTGGTCGAAGCGAATCTTAGTGTGTTTAAATATATAATATATAAAATTATAAACACATACATGGTCCAATATATATATTATATATATATATATATATATATATATCGAAAAATTATATAATTTTATATATTTTTACCGGACCAATATATATTTTGCTTAACATCGATCGATGTCGAAATGTTTATAATGTTTATAATTTTTATTTTTATATTTTTGATCTCTTTATAGCATTTATCTTTATTTTTATATTTTAAATCAAATGGTATTGTTTTGTGGCTCGTAGCCCTTCTAATTTATTTTGAATTTTATTCTTATTAAAAAATATTATTTTATGTTTAAATACGTATTTGTTGTGTAAATTTATATGCTATCTAGTTATAGAAATCTGTGATTAAAAATTTTGATGAGATTATATTGATCTTATATCATTGTTGGCTCTATCTTACATGACGACAACCTCGTTTTCCTTTTATATTTATTAACCCATTATTCTTGTAAATCTAGAGCTCTAATTTGAATTACAGACATCTTTACGTGAATAGTCTTGGGTGAATAGTTTACTTGTTAAAATTTGTAAGAGTTGTAGAACGATAATTTTTACATTATATAAATTAGTAATCTTTAATGCTCTCTAAAGACTAAACTATAGTTTATATAAAGTTATCATTATTGACACTTTTGATCAGTATATAAATTATAAAATTATAAGATATAAATAAATTCAGAAAACAATTTCTTATAAAGTATGTACCTTTAATGTTCAATTTTTAATTAAATTAAAATAATTTTATTCTACTTTTGTTATTTATGCGTAATATTAAATCAATAATATACTGAATTACGTAAATCTGGACTTTAATGATAATTAAATAAATTTGTACTTTTACATCTCATTATCTTTTTCCAATAATTCGAGAATAATTAATTAACGATTTTGATTTAGTTTTAATCGTCATTTCCAATATTTTAAAAATTGTTTGGAAAATTATTCTCATATATCACATCGTCAAAAGTATTATATAAACCCTCCCTAAAAATATTTAGAATCCGTTTAGATGTTCAATGGCAAAACTTCGATGCAAACAATCATAAAATAAGTACTCAAAATTCTTGGTGAACCGTCGAATCCGGAATCGTTGCTTCTTGTTGAATTCATTCTCTTATGTTCGGAGTCGTCATTTAGTTCAACGCGGGTTGATTCATTCTCGTCCGTACTCCTCGTCGTGACAGTACTCGTCGTACTTCCAGTACTGTCGCTACTGATGGACGGTGTTCGCGAATGATGCCGTCTTCTCTTGATCTTTGCCCGTCTGACTTTGGAGAGATCCCGCGGCGTAGCCGTGAGCAGTGCGGAAGGCGTTGTGTAAAACATCCTCATAAGATCGAGTGGCCGTTGTAAGGGTGTATTCTTCGGGCTGGACTTGGGAGACGTTTTTGGCAAAATTTTTGCTAGATGCTGCTTCTCAGGTACGAGTTTTGTGATAAGCGTATTCCGTTCATTCACTGTCGTTATTAATTCATTACTACTCTCTTTTAACACCTTTTCATTTTTGTCTGATGTCTTTTTGGTTGATGGTTTCTTCTTTTTAATCGCACGCTTCGTTTTAGAGGATTGCAAACTAACGTTAGGACTACTGACCACACTGGTTTCCTCTGACACAATTGGAGTTTCGACATCATCTATATTTGTCAAATCGTCCTGATTACTCCATCTTGAAATTTTCCTGATTAAAGAGGGATCGAGTGACAGCTCGTTTGTTGGAGTGCTGGGATTTTCATGTTCCTCCTCGACTTTCCGATTGTCGCACTCTTTGTACAACTCCGGTGCTTCAACTATATTTATTTCCGGTATAGTAACCTCGACTGGAGTAGTCACAGAAGTTGTATCGAAATTGTTGCACTTCAACGAAGCTTTCTTTACGGTCGGACCTATCTTTTTAGTATCGATCGCTATCGAAAGATTCTTCTTTTTTAATGGTATTTTTTGCACCGTCGGTACGTTTCTTTCGATTTCCGTCGAAACTTTTGCAAGTTTCCCGATTTCCGCTTTTTCTGATCTTAAAGATTTCGAAACAATTTCCTCTTTTTCTTTTTCCTTTTCGAAGACTATATTATTAAATCCAACTGTTAAATTTTCGAACGTCATAGTACTCATTTTAACGTCGGCCTCAATTTTCTCTTCATTATCTTTCCTCTTTGAATTCATCAAATTTATATTTTTTTCAATTTTGGAAGTACTTGTTTCGCGGAAAGGAAATCCGTTTTGTTGTTTCGATCTCATCATTTCAGGACTACCCGGCGCTTTAATTTCACTCCAAAAATCAATGGACTCGGTAGAGGTGCTTCTCGATAATATTACACTTTCATCCTGAGAGTTATAACTCGTGTCGATCTTCATTGACTTCTTTTCTGTTATTTTACTTACAGGTTTTGTCTTTAATGTCTTCTTAACGGATACATCCTTATCTATGGTTTTTTCATCATTGGATATAGACTGCTGAAAAACTTTAGAATTATTATTCGCTGAACGATCGTTCATTAATTTCGAAGAATTAATAGAAATGTTTTTTTTCAAAATCCTTATCTCATCATCAGCATTATTGCAAAAAAATGATTTGGCATTTTCAATTTTTTTTATATTAAATGCACTTGAATCCTTTTCAATATTTGACGAGTTCGCAATGCTGCTACTTTCGTTTATATTATTTTCTAAGAGCATCGGCATCTTACTCTTGACATTCAATAAGTCTTTCGAAGAATCCTTTGCTACGTTAAAGTTAATTTTTTTAATTGAGTCAGTCTTTAATTCCACTTCTTTTGCATCTGCTGTTGATTTGGTAATTTCACTTTCGATATTTGATGAATCAGTTATTTTCAAGGTTAACATATTTTCGTCAGTCCTTTTCACATTGTTTCTCGATGTTTCTATCAAATCGACACCTTCTGTCGGATTAATATCCGTTGCTAGTTTTGCCTTGTCAAAATATTCATTACTATACACTTTGTCATTTGTTTCCTTGAGCAAGGTCGTTTCGTTAGCTTCTAACTTGACTGCATTATTGTGTCGAGTTGCGTTGATTTTAGAAGTTAGTTTATACGCGTCTACGCTACTGGTTCTCTTCGAGGCATTGAAGGAAGAAACTTGCGCCAAGTTCGATGTTTTGTTCATCTTCTTTTCCGGCAATACGATAGCGGCAGTCCCGACGTCATGATCACTTTTCAGCGAGTCAGCCCGATACTCTGCAGTCTCTCGTAACGAAAGCTTTGGCGCTTCTACGGCATTATTTCTATCCGTATTAATTTTAGACAGTTTTGGCAGACGACAGGTCGCGCTATTTGTTGTGAGCATCATACCGCTGACGTTGTTTTTACCAACATTGTCGCAAGTTTTGATTTCGACGTTTTGCTTTATTATGTTCTCATTGTGCGATATCGGCAAAATCTTTGGCCTGAATTTTTCTGTTATGAGCTTATCACTATCAACGGAAGCGACAGCATTTTTTATAGCGAGTATTTTCGGTGTTTTGACAGTCGAATCGGCTTCCAGATAGTCAAATACCTTCTCGGTAATATTATCGATCATATTATGATCATTCTGACTTTCGTCATTTTTTACATCCGCGATAAAAGTGTCTTCATATATTCCTCGAAGACATTCCATTTGCGACTCGTTTCTTGATGCGTTTGTCGAAATAAAAGCTAAAATGTTCGATTGTGTGGGAGTTGTTTCAGTTTCCTTTGAGAATGATGAATCTTTAGTAACGATTTCTTGTATATCACTTTTAACTGCTAAGATATTGATGTCTCGATTATTCAACGAGCTATCGTTCGATATGGGAATATCATTTCTTGCCAAGGATTCCGTATTTTTAGATTTATACGCTGCTTTTTTTGATCTTTTAAAATCTTTAATATCACTGACTATTTGATTCTTGCAATTCTGCCTCGTTAAATCTACATCTGTTGAACTTTTTGATGCGTTATTTGTAAAAATATTGTTTTCGATGTCAGCAAAGCTGACATTCGTTAAGTTCAATTGATCTTCATTGATTTTCACATCGAGTTTTTCGATTTCTTTGAGCTTCTCATTAAACTTTTCCGTAGGTTTTTTTATTGTTAAACGCGCGCTATTTCTTGACAAATCCTTTACGTAAGATTTTCGCACTGCCAACACGACTTGCGTTTCTGCTTCGTCTGTATCATTCGAGGTAACGTCCGTTTCGTTTCCAGTTTTTAATTCAAATCTACTAGAGCCTTTTACATTCTCATTAAATTTTTCGTCTGTCGATTTGCGCTTTTTGTTCTCTGCATTTGCATTCATCCAAATTGTGGAGAAATCCCCAGCGCTATTACATGCCTCGATCTTATATATCTGAGGTCTTGGCTCATCATTTTCTTTAATCTGCGAATCAATGGAAATTTCACTAGAGCTACTTGATCGCCTTTTATCAATCTTATCAGTGGACGATAATTTGTCAAATCTCTTTTTCTTTGTTTTTTTCATAGCTTTCTTTATCCTTGTCATAGCCGCTTTTTCTTCCTCCTGAGTCATTATATCAGAATCGACGTTGTTCGCGAACGACGAATGCTCGAGCAATCCTTTTGCCGTCGTTCCCTTTCTAAACATTAAAGTACCTCGACGTGTCTCATTCTCGATCTGAGCTTGCTCTTCGGCTACAAGACTGTCTAAGACTTTCGCCTGTACTTGCGCGTATGCAGCCTCTCGTTGCATTTGCTCGAGATTAAGTTGCAAATCGGCGGAAGACCTACGTCGCGTAAATCTGCGAGTGATTCGCTTTCGCACAGCTTCCCGCTCCTCAGAATCTTCTAAACGATCTAAATTGACCTGATGATATAAACGTGTTCCCTGTTGACTATTATCGTTATCTAACTTTTTGTCTTTAATAATAAACTTCTCCATTAGCAGTTCACCTATTGATTTTTCATGCTTCTCGTTGTGCTCGCGTAAAGCTGGATTATCTTTTAAGGCTTGCGATCTGATCTTGATAGTCGCCCGATCGCGACGTAAATTTCTAGGAGGATTCCTATTGTGCGAGAGTATTCTCGGTGACGAGACATCGATATCAGCCGTGTCGATCACTCGTCTTGCTGATCTCACAGAGATCGGCGAAAAACGATGCAGATGGCTGAGTGGCGATTCGGAAATCGTCGACAGATGCGGTGAGAAACGCGACAACGAAGTGTGAAAAGGCATTCTGTGCGAAACATCATAATCTTGTTTGAAATTAGTAGGTAATTTACGTTTTACATAAATTAGTTTCTATTTGGCGGATATTTTTCTCATGAATCGTTCAACGTGTTTATTTCATATATAAATGCGGTACAAATGTTTAGATTATGTCATATACAAAACAGAAGCTTGTTAGAAGTTCGAGCTTTAACCCTTTCAGATTCTACGTACATTGTAATATACATCAATTTTTTAAAGACATTTAAATTATTTAATTCTACTTACAATATCTAAGATCTGATGTACATAATATATATATATATACATATATATATGTATATATGTTGTGGAAAATAGTCAAAATTTTAAAAGAATTGTTTAGTATGAATTATTTATTAAAGCGAATGTGTAAATTGAAATTAAAAAAAAAAGTTTAACATGGTTCCAATAAAATCAAGTCTGACAGGGTTAACATAAATTGTATTGAAAAAATATTGTTACAAAATAATATATTATTATGTATTGTTATATGCGATATATAATATATATTATGTTTATATAATATTAAATTATTATTGTGAAATTATTTTATTATTACATACAATATCTAATGTTATTATTTAAAATATATTTTGAATGTCTTACAACAAATAAATATGCGCGATTTATATGCATAGGTTTACTAATGTCAATTGTGAATTTAATATCTGTTATTTGTATAGGATGACCAGATGATCAGATCATTGGTTGTTATCATAATTAATTTTCAAATTTATTATCATTGCTATCAAATGATGATGAATGATGTAATAAGCCGTACCTGTCGTAGATTTGTTTGTCTTGCTAAGAAAATTACACTCGTAACGTTTTGTGTGTTCAAATACGTATTCTACAATTGTGTTTTTGAAATATTTTTTGTACTGCGTTTTATCATAATTTTTCTGAAAAACTACAAAGGTTTAAATAAAATTCAAAACCGATAATATAAATGTTATATAAATTTTCGCAATTGAAATTTTTAATTTGTTTATAAGCAAATCACACAATAATTGTTATTTAGCTAATTTTCAAAACATTTACACATTAACGACCTTGAGAAAGATTTCCACCAATAAAAGTTTATCGATTAAAAAAAGAACAAATTTTGATTTAAAAAAGTAAAATATAAAAAAAAACTTTTGCACTAAATATTATATATAAACAATAATATTTTCAGTAGCATTAAATTTACTTTTATATTCTTACCGTCCTACTCCCGTCATTAATGAGCTGTGATTAGCATAAGCTCCTCCTCCGTAATAGTACGGTACATCATTATAGTACGGCATTTTCTTTTGCACCTTCTTCTTCGTTTACACAAAATAACAAAAGTCACAACGATAATACGGAAAAACAATGATAAACAAGCTCGCAAGGAACGATCGGCGCGTCGGTCAAGAGGATGACTGAACAACTGCGTTGTTCTGCTTTTAGAGATAGTGGACCGGTCACGTAAATGCGGTAGCTCCGGCTCTCAGGTGTGCGAAAAGCGAAGCTGTTCTCACGGTTCAGAGAGCCAAGACCAACTGAGTTTAAGCCGGCGACCCAGTGTAATAATAGAATTCTAGTATATGAGGCTTTCAAGCGCTACCTATACTACTCGACTCTAATAACCTGATCATACGGCCGACTATTATGACTGGTAGTTTTAACGACAAAAGGAATGCGGAACAACAAGCTTATCTGCATTTTTCTCAACATGCATTTAATATTGTACTTATTTATGCTAATAACGAGAATCAAAGACTTCTACTAAGAAATATATACACACGAACGAAAGAAAAGAAATAATTGACCGTAAATCGTTAATAAGAAGAGATTTTACTTTATTTTTATTTACTTGTATGATTGATTACATCAAATACAAAAAATTGTATATATATATACACATATATATATATATATACAAATGTATTATGTATATCAAAGAAAAAAATATAATTCCTAAAATATGATATATTTTGAATGAAAGTTAAAATTTTTAGAAAGAAGATATTAAATAAACTTTTTTAACATGCTTTTATTAATATCATTGATATGGTGTCCCGGTGATCGAATTGAAAGGAATATGCCTTCACAGAATACAAGAGATTCGGGTTCGAATTCCGCTGCTAGAATAATATTTTTCGCAATGATGTACTCACAGTTTTTAAGAGGCTTATTAGTATCAAATTACAATAACAATCTTCTAAGATGCTTATTTGCAGCAATAATATTAAATTGCTTGTCAATTTGTGATATTACTGCTCCAGCTTCGATTTAAGAATGTGTGTCAAGACCGCCAAATTATTATCCGCTTACAGCTAGTTTTAACTGGAAATTATATAAATTTACAAGAAATATTAGATATAAAAAACCGTCTTAATCGAAAATAAGATTCTTCACTTATGTGTGTTTAATACATTATTGATGTTTTTATAAATAGAGTTAAATAGTATTCTCTTTACTCTCTCTCTCTCTAATTCGATTCTCTTCATCTCTTTTTTCCTTCCTTCCTTTTTCAACTTCTCCGTTCCTCCTCTTTCTCCTTTCTTTCAAGAATCTTATTTTCTGCATTTAATCTTGCAAGTGATGAGATAAATCGATTGATGTAGAAAAGAAATACATAACTGTATTTAAACTATTTGCATATGAAATGCATAACAATTTAAAAAAAGTATGCACGATTTTATTAATTTTTTATTATATGTAATTATTTAGATGAATTATTCACATTTAAATAAATAAATAAAATATACTACATCAAAGTTAAGAAATCATCTATTCTGCCCTCCAAAAATAGACAATTTTCAAGAGAGAGTGTAACTTTCAAGGGGTTTCATAACTATACAGAGAGAACTGATTTAACTCTCACTGAAATATAATGTGTTGTTAAACACAAAAATGTAAATAACATCTATTTTTTTATACGTACGAAATCTCATATTTAAGGGGTGAACAGTCTCTTGGGGAAAAAAGGTTTTTCTCTTTTGAAGCGTATATCGTTGGAAATATAAGAAAAAAATTGATAATTATTTACTACATTTATTTGGAAAAGTTATATCATCTCACAATTCTTGATGCATGTGCGGGTGCACCATCATGTTGGAAATACATGTTTCTTCTGATTTCCAACGGAATATTTTCTAATAATATAGATAAATCATTACGTAAAAAATTTTCATAAATTCGCTGGTTACTCTAACGGGTAACTCAAATAGACCGATCTAGGAAAAAATGATAAAATTATTTGTTTTATTTAATATATAAAAGAATATGATGACAAATAAGAAATTTTTAATATGCAATTTGAAAAATCTAGAAAAAGTGTATACTGTATAACATGAAATAGTAGTGTAATAAATAAACAGTATGAAAGTATTAAAAGATATCTTACTAAAACATTATCCATATGTTATACCAATACTTATAGATTAATACTGCATCTATGTTGGAAATGTATTGGTATGTAACTATGCGGATTTCCATCGGCTCAAATATGATAATTAATGTCTATTAAAAATGCCTTCGCGTGTAAAATGACACTTATCACTAAACATTATTTGATGCGCGATTTCGAGTTGTCGTTCTTCTCTATAATTAACAGCATATACAAAAATCTATGCAACGTGCATAATCTTATGGCAGTAAGTGTTGTACTTTAGTATAATAAAAGGCATCCATACTATTAGCTTTTAAAATTGTATAAACAGAATCTTTGGATATTCCAATTGCGTGATCTATTAAACAAGTACATGTTGTAAGGATCTTTTAAAATTTGCGGTATTTCTTCTTCATTTTCTAATGTATGAGCGATGAAATCTCTTTCGGCCTCAAAATTGCTTCTTATTAATTTAAAATTAGGTTATTATACGTTTAAACAAAAATACGTTTACACGTATAATTAGTATATTCGTTTATTAGAAACATTTTTCCGAATATACGTGTAATTAACTATTATACGTTTAAATGAAAACACGTTTACACGCATAATTACCATATTCGTATGCTAATTAAACGTGTAGTTTACCTTCAAGTAAATGTTTTTCTGAAAGCGAATATAAACGGATAAACGTTTTATGTTTACACATATATTCGAAAAACGGAATAAAATTAGAGCCCTAGTTTAAATAAACCATTTCTCTCGATTTATCAAACGTAGAAATATGTTTGCGTCTGGGTGTCTACGATTAGAGTAACGTTATGTTCGTCTAGCTTCATGTGAATTTCTGTCACATTCGCCATAAATGAGTATTATGTCACAATATTCTTCATTTGTGTACTTCATATTGTAAAATTATAATAATTTTATGTGTCTGTATAATGTTATGTCTGACATCGGTATACTTATTTTAAACAACTGAACAATGCATGCATTACATTAGACGCAAACATATTTTTCCCCTGTACAGTTTCTTTTAAATTTAAGTAATTAGGTATTATTAACTATTTAACCGTATTATATCAAATTATGACATACATATTTCCTAATAATCATTGTAGTAAAACTTTTAATAAAATTTGAAATACAAAAATTGTGATGTAAATTACATCAAAATACATGGATCTTGGTGCCTAACAATATTTCTATGTAAATTTAAAAAATACAATTTCCAGTTCTACAAATTACGCACCGATAATTACTGTTGGACTTGAAACGCAATCTTAAACTAAAACTGGAATATCACAAATTAAATTAATAAACAATTTAATAATAATACATTTAATTAATTTCACGTCAAACAGTTTATCGATATTACAACAAAAATGTTTCCTATACGAGGTAAATGAACATACTTATGAATTTATTTTGACAGCTGATATATATCTTGCTATTGAATTGATATTTTACTATTCTGATACTAATTATGCATATTAATTACGCACATATGTGTTAAAAATTAAAAATGTACAAATAGATTTCAGAAACAGAAACAACTTTCTGAAAAATATTGTATGTTAAGACGTTAAGAGGGTCCTCGTGGTACAATTCACTCACTCATATCATCATACCTGAGCGCGCAAAATGTCAGCTTTGTGATTAGCGAACTTCAATTGCGATTAATTAAAAATCTATAATAGCCTCAATATTTTGTATTAGAATTTTCGTCTTAAAATTATCTCAAGAATACTTCCTCAAGAGGAACTGCGGTAGTTGCAAGTACACCCGGTATGTACATATACTTACATCCCTGATAGCAAAATATTGACAATTTGCGGACAAATTGATAGCAAACTCAATCAGATTTTTACTACAAAGCAAGTGAGAAAAGGAAATAGCCGAACGCGAATTGGCTCTATTACGACGAGAATTGGAAATTCTACGAGTGGATCGCGATGCACAAATCACGCAGCGGAAAGACGAAAGCAAGCGAGTGACGGCTACCACCAATCTTTACGTGTACAAATCGTTATTTTCTCAGTTCCAAATCTCCACCGATCCTCTTCCACCAAATACCTTCACCGTCACCTATGAAAATGTAGATCCCGAACAAGTTCGAAATGCTATAACTGAATTCCCTTCTGATTTCGTTCCTGTTTTCCTTCCCCACTTTTCACATCCTTTTTTAGTCCTAATAGCCTACTGAACTTCTTTCCCCCATCTTTGATTATTATCAATGAAATCTCATAGTCGCCTAATTGTAATTTTCCATCCCCCACAATTTCCTCTCCACACACACACACACACACACACGCACACACGCACGCACGCACGCACACACTTTTAATCACATAACTTTTTCTTTGTATTTAATTAAAGATCTGTAATTCATGGTCGCGTTACATTACTGTAAGATATTAAGAGATGTCTCTTCTTTCATTGACTATGACCAGCCATCTTTGGGCAAACGAGGAGAAAAGGAGGATAGAGAGAGAAGGAGAGAGAGAGGTGTGCGTCATCGCAAGGACGTGCGAGAACAGTAGCTGTTTTTCCTTTTGCTGTAAAAGTGTTAAAATACAATTTGTTTATTTGCTACTGAGTCTGTTTATTTTAAGTGTGAACCTTTTCGTCCTTTGAGATTATAAGACGGGAGGGATAGCAAGGTTGTCTAAACGGGTCATGGTTTTATGGTACGGATCACAATGGTGACGGCCATTTTTGTTGTTTTATGATCTCGTTAGAGAGTTCTCTCTCACACTACACAATATTTTTATTTTTTCTCTTAATGCCGATTTTAATATTTTTCTTATACCATAATGATATAATCTAAGATAAGTTAGTTGTTATTCTTACGCGGAACTAGTATTAGATTCAGTTCTTTGACCCAAAATCGGACCTACGATCACATGTCTCTTTAAACAGGAATCATAACATCTTATCGAAATGTTAACCCATATTTCAGAGAGACTTAAGTGCATTCGACTCACTTCGAATTTCCCCTCCCAGTAAATACATACAAAACAAAACGTATATTGAAGCGTCCTTCCACACTTCTTCCTTCTTATTACTTCTCTCTCCAAATGATCTTACCATTTGCTCGGAGTTTGAATGCAATAATATAAAAAGTAACGACAAAAGTAACTATAAGATTCATTACTGTTACCAAAAAATGTAACTATACGTTACAATTACCAAAAAGAAGTAACACCGTTACTAGTTTACTACTAAAAAAGTAATTTGTAATTGTTCCAAGTAACTAAATAGGAAAATTTAAAAAAAAATTATGTTTATAAAAATTTGAGGTATTTTGTAATTTTAGCTAAAAATGATAATATATAATAAAAAATGCTTTTTTATACAACTCCAATATTTTAGATGCAAGGCATATAATATTTTTTTTACGTTTAACCTTATATAATATATTCACTTACATATTTTCATGATTATATAAAAACTTATTTTTGGGTAGACCCCTTTTATGTGGAATGCGCCATATGTACATAAAGCGAATTAAACGCTTGTGTACATCATGTATTAAATCAGTTCGTGTCAGTTAATTGATATAAAAAAATTTTAATCTAAGATGCATAAAATTTTTTTTAAACTGTGTAACATATTTAAAAATATCCTAAATTGGATTTTACATTCTTACCGTCGCATCTTAAACCTTGTCGAAACAATCCATACAACAATGAGCCGCAATGATCGCAGAAAGTCGGTGACATGAATGTGTGAGTACGAAATCTATGGGGAACGTCTATCTTAAAACGTTCTCTCAAATACTATAACAAAATAAATATTTAATAATTTAGATAACAAAATTAATGGTAAATCTACTGCTATTATATCTGTCTAGTAATTATGTCGTTTAAATATTTATACAATATAATATAGTAAAAAAATATTTACATAATATATTTTTATATTATAAATTTAAATATTCAATATTACAATTTAATTCTATTAACTATAATTTTCTTTTCTAATCATAAACCGATACTTACTATTGTATTTTCTGATTCTCTTCCACTCTCAGGACATTTAGTTAATAATTTGTCATGACATTTCTTATGTACTGCCGTTTGACATGCTATAATAAAAAAAATGTTTTTATATATCTTATTAATGAAAATACAGGAAAGTAATAAATAAAAAGAGCAAAATTATAGAAATTGTAAACTTTACCTTGACATTGATAACCCTGTTTTCCAAAACCCCTAGAATAAAAAATAAACAATTAAGGAATATTTTTTTATTTGTTATTAAAAATATATCTATATATAATTAAAATTGCAGAAATTTTCTAAAAATATAAGATTTAAATATTAATAAGAAGAATACAAAGAAAATCTAAAATATTACCACAAAAAATCTTTACAAAAAGTGCAGAATGTCGGTTGCCGAAAAAACTTGGCTACAAGTTTGTGACCTCGTACAATGTGCACTTTGTTATGTTTAACAGCACCCCTTCTTCTCGTTATGGCGCGTCCAACGTTGTTCTCTCGTAACAGCGGAGTCGTCGACATTGTTGACTCCGCAAGATCTTTCCTTGGAACTCTGGTTCTATAAATGTATATTTTGCTTTGCGTCGTAGTTGTCGAGGGATCCGTAGGATTTAGCGTCGGTACTCTTGTCCTAAAATCATCCGATTGCCAAGACATTTCTTGTGTGTGTGTGTGTGTGAGTGTTTCATATATAATAAAAAAAAATTAACGATAGACATGTTGTGCAAAAAATAATATTGATATACTATATTAATATTATTTTTTGCTAATAATATAAGATAATACAAACATTTTTATTTAATTTTCTGCTTGTGTACAAATATTTTAACGTTAACCGTGTATAGAGTAATTACACCCCACCCATGCATTTATAGTGCAAAATGTAAAGAAAAAAAGAAATGAACCGGCTTTATGTAATTATTCAGATTAGGGGACGTCATGATCTTAACTTTGACAACATATATTCTATCAAAATTAAAGTCATCGGAGTCTTCTGATCCGAATAATTATTATAATAATATTATTAGTATCTTATTAAATAATGATTATCCTGCTAATATAATATTTTATACTATAAATGCACGTTTAAAATTGTTAATTTAAAAATACACAGAAGAAAGAAAAGAATATTAACGATAATGAATGTCCTTCGTGGTTTTTAATACCCTATATTCTGTTAATATCAAAAGAATTTAAAAGAATCAGCAAAAATTTTAATACAAAATTAGCTTTCGCCAGCTTAAACAAATCAGATAAATTTATTAAGATGCAGGAAGACATTCTCCTACAAGTGTCCTAAGTTTTTAGACTACAGAAGCTTCGGTAGTCTAAAGACTTAAGACGCTCGCACAGAATACTAAAGATCCGGGTTTGACTCCTAGCCGAGGTAATATTTTTCGCAATAAGAATTATTTACAGATATTAATATGTCTTTCAACGTTATAAGATCGATCTAAGATGCCTAAAGAGCATCAAAAATTGTTAAATTGTTAGTCAATTTAACTCGTGATATTACTGCGGTAGTTCAGTAGAGCTTACGTTTCAAGTCTGAAAATAATTCGGCACGCAATTAAAAATCTATATACGTAATATATAAATTCACACGCGATTATAGAAGCACCCAAGATCCAGTTTGACCGTTAAGGCTTATTTATCATTGGTTGAAATATTTAAGGTTTTAAGTTAAGTGGACGACTCTGTATAAGAGGGGCGAATGACTTTCCACGCGAAGTGACTTCATCCTATCTTCCCTCTTGCCTAGGAGCGCACAAATTTCCACGCGTAATGACTTATTCTAAAGAAGTTTAATACCAAATTTGAATAAAATACATAACTTTTTATTCAAACCTTTTTGGCATTGAACTTCTTTGTTGGTCAAAATTCATTTAATAAGGGCATTTATTTGACGTCATTTAGAGTGTTTCTGCTAAAATTCATGAAAATCGGACGTTTTCAAAAGTTTATCCTGTTTTTGTAAAGATTGCAACTTCAAAATTTTTAACTGAAGCCCCCTCCCGTTAATTAATATTCTTATAGCTATAAAATATCGAGATCTTTTCACTACAATGAAACTTCCTTCCTTTAAGTTTTTTCGTGATCTAAATTGAAAAAGTTCAGATATATTATACAATCAGCATTATCGTTATCCAATGTGTTCAATCGACTAAAACTTCTTGAATGTTGTTCACAGTCACGACCATGAAGGAAGATATAAGGAGACTCCACTCATTGTCAGTCTCGCCAGTCTACAAAACATGGACCCGTTTTAGGTTTCGAGTTCAGTTTCCGATTCTCGACACTCGCAGCTCTCGTGAATTTAGTAGTGCTGCGAGTGTCGAGATTCGGAAACTGAACTTGAAACCTAAACTGGGTCCATGTTTTGTAGACTGGCGAGACTGAGTGGAGTCTCCTTATATCTTCCTTCATGGTCGTGACTATGAACAACATTCAAGAAGTTTTAGTCGATTGAACACATTGGATAATGATAATGCTGATTGTATAATGATCATTTCTCTTACTCGCACTCATCAGAATCGGAAACTGAACTCGAAACCTAAAATAGGTCTACTTTTATTTTACGGAGTGGAGTCTCCTTATATCTTACTTCCTGGTCACGATCTTGATAATATTTATCAAAGTCAAGATTATTTAGAAATTAGGGGTTATATTTACTTTTTAATTTTTACGTTAAACACGAAAAAAAATGTTTTTATTTTATGAAAAATACTAAATTTTATACAATCTGACTTTTGAATTTTCATCTTATTGACTCAAAGCATGAAGAACACGAACGGAGTACTTTTTGTAGGATAACGAATTTTGTATAACGAATTTATAACTGTATTTACTGTAACATTGAAAATGACCTTATCGGAGTCGAAACGTTTGTTGAACATGGTAGCTACATATATTATTATTATTTGATTACAGTTTTTTGATTTTGTTATATTATCGGCCCTTTGCCTCTTTTTATTTATATTGTTTTCATTTTATATATGTATATTGCATAGAGAGACGCCAAATTGTCTAGCGCTGTCCCTGCTTTCACGTACCGAGTAGCTTACCTGTATATGTATCCTTCAGCTCCAACGCTGCGCGTCGAAAGATTTCGTTGATCTACAGATGATTTCCTTCCAGAAAAACCTGATCCACTGCCGCCACCGGCGTTTCTCCTCTTCGCATGAGAACCACCAGTGAACATCATCTTCCAGAACTTCACCAATGATGATTTAATGATTTAACTTCATTACTCTTGCATCAATAATATTATCATCATGATTGAATTCATTATTCATGATTCATGATTTATATTTGGGACTAAGTGAATGGGCACTTCATTTACGTTCTCTGCATACTTGATTTTTAATCTATGACAAATATTTAACATATTCTATTCCTTGTTTCAGTCTCTTCTCTTTTTAATTATATATATAAATGTATATATATCTTTAATTATATATAAAAATATGATAATAATGTATGTGATAATAATATATGTAATAAAAATTGTTTATAAAAACCTTATTAATAACTTTGTAATTGAATTAACGAACGATATCAAAATTTGAGAGAAGTTTTCATAAATTATAATCAACTTTATTTCATAAACCGATGATTATCTAAATTAATAATCGAAGCTTTACTCGTAATTGATTGTACATTTTTATGCAAAAATTAAGGATTATTTATAAGCTACGAACTGTAAATAATAGAATCGTAATAATAAATAGTTAATAAAAAAAATAGTAATTAAAAATCTCCAAATATAAAATTTATAAAATATTAATCCAAATGACTAAAACAATTTACAAAATTTTATAATTATGCCTTAATCAAAGGATTTTTTACTCTTAATTACTTACATATACCATATAATATCTTTGTGTCGATTGAGAGTCATTCGTTAGTTATAGTAGAACGTTCACATCAAAATGAAACAATGGATTTGATGTATTATAAGTACTTACAATTAGTAAGTAATTAATAACATTCGATCTCTTATTCTATAATTTAATATTTATTCAAATTTTATAAAAAATAATATGGATTTAATTTGATTAATAATTGATGAGATTCCACCGTCAGTTCATTTATTAAGAAATCTATCAATGCTAATACGTCTTATATATTTCAGCGTGACATTGTTCTGTTTTCTGTTTTAATGTATTTGATTCATTAACATCTAGAATGGACCGCTGATGGCAGTGGTGGGAATAGAAAGACGAGAATAAAAGGTAGATAAATGGATGAACGTTCTTTCTCTGTTTACTAAAGCCTGATTGATTGTTAATCCAATAGTACTATACGAGACTATGCTATGACAAAGGGTACCTCTGATTAAAGCGAAACTATGATAGTGTATGTTCTATGTTATTGCTTGTATAAATCTTAGTCAGATATTAATAAAACTAAATAAAATGGTGAATTACATTTTATGTGAGATGTCCACTACGATACAACCTCTGATCATACTGATACAACCTCTGTATCAACTTCTTACTGGTAAATATATTTATATCATCATTATATAAAAGAGATTTAACCATAATATAAACCATATATAATACTCTTCATAATATATTATTGCAACGTTATAAAGCAGTCTCTGTGAAGTTAGTACCTCAACTTTAAAAATCGGAAATTTTAATAACAGTACTGCTTGCACCCGCAATAGTTCTAGAGTTCCTGATAGGTTTCATCAATAGTACTGTTGATTTAGGCCAAAAATTTTAAAAAATAAAAATATGCGGTGCTAACTTCGCGTGGCACCGCAAGATTTGAAAAAGCCGATTTTTATGACGGAATCTCACAGTACTCGAAGAGTACTACAGTTCCTGATCGATTATAACAATATAGTACCGGCCATTAAATATTTTTAAATAAATTTTTTAAAAAAAAGCTCGCACCTCAACTTTCAAAAAAATTATTTTTTTTGCGCCATTTTATAGTACTCGAAGAGTACTACAGTTCCTGATCGGTTTTAGTGACACTACCCACCTTTTTAATATGTTTAAACAATTTTTCGATCCGCGCGCTGGCACCGCACGTCAAGAGTAAAGTACCCCTAAAAGGCCAGTACTGGCCAACTTTTCGACTTTTTCCGACAGTACTACAATAGTTCCGAAGAAATATGCAGATTTCGACGCAAGTACTGGCTGTTCAGAGGCATTATACTCTTGTCGTGCAGTGCCAGCGGAAAAATTAAAAAATTATTTAAACGTATTAAACGAGGAGTACTCGAGTCGACACCTGCACATTTCTTCGGAACTATTGTAGTACTGTCGGATAAAGTCGAAAAGTCGGCCCGTACTGGCCGTTTAGGGGGGTACTTTACTATTGACGTGCGGTGCCAGCGCGCGGATCGAAAAATTGTTTAAACATATTAAAAAGGTGGATAGTGTCACTAAAACCGAACAGAAACTGTAGTACTCTTCGAGTACTCCAAAATGGAGCAAAAAAAATAATTTTTTTGAAAGTTGAGGTGCGAGCTTTTTTTTAAAAAATTTATTAAAAAATATTTAATGGCCGGTATTGTTATAATCGATCAGGAACTGTAGTACTCTTCGAGTACTGTGAGATTCCGTCATAAAAATCGGCTTTTTCAAATCTTGCGGTGCCACGCGAAGTTAGCACCGCATATTCTTATTTTTTTAAATTTTTGGCCTAAATCAACAGTACTATTGATGAAACCTATCAGGAACTCTAGAACTATTGCGGGTGCAAGCAGTACTGTTATTAAAATTTCCGATTTCTAAAGTTGAGGTGCTAACTTCACAGAGACTGTAATAAAGCAGCTATATTTATTATGATATTGTTGAGTATTTTCTGACGGTGTTTATTATTATTATGACCAGGGCATTGTTACGATGTACTAAGTTCCTGCTCGGAAAAAAGACGGAACGATCATCCATTTATCTGTCTCTCTCACTCTACTTATCTCTCTATTCTCCACTGCCAACAGCGGTCCATTCTAGATATCAATGATTTGACTGCAACATTCTCTTTAATCTTTATGTAATAATTTCGGATACATTTTCGTGTTTGTTAATTAATAAGGATGATTCAAAAGCGAAGGTGAAACGTCTAATTAATTTGTTAGATATATAATGAAGATTTTGAATTCTTTATTATAACACATTAATTAGTTATTACATGAACACCTAGTGTTGACTCTGATTGGCAATTGTACTTTTGTGATTTATACTTTTAGAATTTCTTATTCTTTTTCTTAAAATCAAAGGAATTTATTTAAAATTTTATTAACTATTATTTTTAAATTATTTACTATTATAAACTATTCAATGTGTTGTCATTGGCGTGTAATAATAAATATGTGAAACGACTATCATATTTAATACAGAGTGATCACTAGAGTAAACACGACTCAATGCGAAAAAATTCTCACACGAAATTCAAATCTATAAATATATCCAATCGTTTCGCAATTCACCAGCGAACATACCCCACAGATTCATTCTCATATCTCAAGAAAAATTATTCATTTACGCTACGTATTTTAAATCTACGTGAAGGCAACAAATGCAAATATAACACGCGAAATTGTTTCTAAATATCAATTCATTTTGTCCGTTTCTAACTACACTTGATAGTAAAAAGCGATTGTGTGATTGCGATATTATATTTTTGAAAAAATTTCAAATCAGGTAAAAACTTTTTTCAATGAGAAACGCGTTCCATTTTTTCGAAGTGATTTAAAACTTTATAATTTGATCAATATATTTAATTTACCAAGAAATATTTACGTTATTTTGACTTTTATTATTTGTTGACATTATAATATGGTTATTAATTATAGAAAAAATTATTAAATGTTGATACTTATAATGGTTATTAATTATAGAAAAAAAAAGATTTAATTTGGAACAATGAATTATATTAGAAATTTTACTTTTTGTCATTTTTTACAATTACTTAACTATTTGTCGATTAAATTTATCGATTAATCTTTTGTTGCACAAATTTTTTAATATCTACATATATTTTATTAAATCTCGAAACGTATACATAATAGTATAGAAATTTTTGAGGTGCTAATTGCAAATTTTAAGCAAAATTTAACAAGTCAAAATAACAAATTCAAAAGGCGGCCAAAAAAAATTTAACATAGGTCATACAGAATAGGTTTCAATTTCAAATTTACAGTCAATATTGAAAAATTGGCAATGTATTTTCAATATCGAAGAAATTTTTGATGCATTTTAATGAAAACTTTCGCTCCTAATATAATTGAGATAAATGACAAAGACAGAAATCTCAAAAATAAATATAAACTAGACACGTGTATAGCTGAAGTGAATAAAATTTATTTATATTTTATAAACTAGACACGAAGTCTCAAATATAAATATATACCGCAAATATAAAAATACAGTTTCATATAAATTTTTTTAATTTTTAGTTATTTTATCCGCTATAGTGGATATGTTTTAGACTCTTAATTTTTAAGTACAGATTTTAAAACAGTGACTTAAAAAAATTAATGTAAAAATTTTCAGGACATGTTTATTATCTTTTACCTTTAATAATATTTTTAAGTATTAATTTTGATTGATATTTATAATTTAAATATGTTAACACAAAATAATTATATATTTACGTTATTAATGTCTCGAAAACATAAAAGCCAAACATAACGTACAAACCAATTATAAAATAAACGTAAAGATACGAAAAAATGGCAAAAATAAACAAGTATTTCATATAGGACATTATACAGCAAATAAATAAGTTAAACTGCATTTGATCAAAGTCTTCCTGAGAATTAAAAATTTCCGTAGCATTAATGTGCATTCTTTGAGGATTACTTCACTGCATTGGGAATGCATGTTGGTCAATTACGGTATATTTATAGCATCGTGATCATAACTTCTATTACATTTTTCTCTTTTCACAAAGCAAAAAGTCTATATGACATCGTATTATAGATTCTTTCGATAATTATTCGGATTAATGGATAACACCACGATGACCTTAACATATTTTATTAAAGTCATAACCCTGAGTGATCTATAAAAGGTTTTAGATGACAGTCACTGTTCATTGAAAAATTATTAACAAATAAAGTTTAAAAAATAATGTCTAATTTTTACAATATACAGAGTATCCGGAATTTAAATGTCAAAACTTCGAGAACATATAGAGGATTAATAAACTAAGAAAAAATGTCTTATAAAAATATGCTCAATTTTTGTTCCGTTTTGAAGAAAACTGCATAAAAGATA